AGTGACAGTAGTGTTTCAGTTTCCCCATTTACAAAATAGGGTTAATTATCTTACCCACCTCACAAGGTTTTGTACAAATGAAATGTGTGTGTGTGTGTGTGTGTGTGTGTATCTTTGTTCTTGTCACATAAAAGCACTCATTGTTAGACATTACTATTTCTACTCTGTGTTATCTGAGTGACCAAAAAATATTTCCAGGTGAAATGAACCACATGAAGTGATATGTTGGATGGATGGATGGATGGATGGATGGATGGATGGATGGATGGATGGATAGATGGACTAATGAGCTGACATTTCATTTCTCAGATGTACAATGTCTTCTCTTTGGAAAGAATTAAGATTTTTACTGATGCACAACCATGAAGATGAAGGGTCCAAATTAAAATCCCAGGAACCCCGAGATGGTCAATATCTACTTAGAAGTTCAGAATTCTGTATTGATTACTACAATTATTCAGTTAGAGTCACTTATTTCACTTCTGTGTTCATAGACTTTATGCAAAAATATCACTTTAAAGAAATGTCTTTCGATTATTAAGAAAATACTGTAGTTCAATACGACATAATCAAAGCAAATTTGACTGGGTTGATAATAAGCAAAGTCAGTTTCCTCTACCTAAGATATTTATCAATGTAAGTAAGTGAACTTATGATTTTCGTGTAAGTGTACAAATGATTTTTAAATAACCTACCGTGTAATGTAAGTGAACAAATCATTTTTAAAATAACCTACCGTGTAATTTCTGGTGATGAACATATATGCCTGTTGTAAATTTCTTTTAATGAAGCTATAAATCAAACAAGTCACCTATGGGAAATAGTGCGAAATCTTTTAGTGTTAAAATCAGAAAGCACAGGAAATTGATTATCTTACAAACAAATGAACCAAGACCTGCTGCCTTGCAGTTACAAGAGTGCCTGTGCCTTTCATCCCACTTTTTCTCCAAGCCATCTGGCTTTAAATTATTCTCTAACCTCCTCCTTCATCTTTATGGCTGCTTCAGTGATTGGTGTTTTCAAAGTATCTGTGCCAAACACCTTCTGGCCCTCTCATGCTCTTCTCCATCCACTGCAAATGACAATTATGACCCCAAATTCACCTACAAATTTAGCCAAGGCTGATTTTTAAAATCTAGTTTATCTTTTTTGGGGGGGGGTATGCTATGGAATTTCAGAAAATCACACACTACCTTATTCCTTAATTTCCAGATTAACTTTCCAAGTTAACAGTAGTTACCATAAATATAGTATTCAAATATGTGTTTAGAATTGCAGCATGAAGGGCCCAAAAAAGGCAATAGGATCAGCTCTTCTTCAACGTTTGTTCACTCAGGGTTGACCTTTGGCTTTAGATATGTGCTCTCAAGGAACGAGTTTCCTCAAGAAAATGATTCACTGTGATTCCTAGCAATGACTTGACACAAGCAGTGTGCATGTCAGCCAGGAAGGGTCAACTGATGTAATGAACTAACTCACATCTTTGTGTGTGAAATGACCACAGACTGAAATCTTTGTACTCAGTTTGGAACAAGAGAAACATATTCTTAAGGTACTTCTCTAAATTTGTGAAACACAAAAATCTGAAAACCACCTACATGCAATTCTGATTCTCACATGTGTTGGAATCCCTTCTATACTGCTGTAACAGTTTAAAATTATTTTGAAAAATATTTCTGACTTAAGATGTAAGAAAGCTGATATTTATGTGAATGAAAAGCAGACCATCCTATCCCTGATTTTTTTTTTTTTTTTTTTTTTTTTT